TGACCTACATCATGTGAAGATCGACCTCTAACAGCACATTAAATGCTGACAGGAGGCATGCCCATCGTACTGTCGAAAGCGATTATCGGGAGTGGTTCCCGCCCTACACAACCGCACATCACTATCAAATCACATTTAATGTTGTACTGACCACGTAAACATTGCACGTGAGTTTTGCACTATAAATACCCCCTCATTTATTGTAATAAGGGAGACAGAGATTCTCTTACTAAAAATAACTCTGATTGTAGAAGAATACCCGGGATGAATCAATATATAAAAAAGGTCATCCGACCTCATTCGGTACACAAAATTGTATTTTTTACTTAAGGAGATCTTCCCACCCGTTGACTCAAATTCCATACGTCAACAGATTAGCGGTAGAAGAAGGGCCCCATCGTCTGTTTTGAAGCAATCTCAACCAGCATTTACACCACAAAATCTACGAAAAAAAATGTCTTCTTCAAGCCAAGAAGATCAGGAGTGTCCCGGGGCCGAAAAGAATCATGACACGACCCTTAGTATCGACTTCACCTCACTTGGTGCAAACCCTTCACTCACCTTTGGCCGCCACCAAAACGCCAGCCAAAAAGGACATGATTCCAACCCAACACAAAAGCAAGGAGCTGGTATAGTCATACAAAACTTCACGGTTCCAAAGCTGCCAATGGACTGCTGAAAACACAGCCTTCGAGCAGATACGTACTGAGGAAACAAGGGAAAGCCAGTTCGAGCCCACATGGAACACTAATCCACCTCCCTTTTAGTAGGTTGGAAAGGTCGAAGACCAAACTCGACCTAAGAGAGAAACTGTTGAAGAGTAGACCGGCGAGGCACGATACCGATGAAGTCTCTACCCTGAAAAAGAAAATAGCCGAGGTTGAGGCTCGACAAAAAATGGTCCCCACAAGAAGACCTCCCCACCACCATCGGGCTCGATGGCGTGAAGAACTCGGTGGTCGACCCAGTTTTGCCACTGGTACAAAAAAATTTGTTGATCCTCTTCTCGAAAAGGTGAAGATCCCACAGATCAGGATGTATGATAGCAACTCGGACCCCGATGCTCACCTTGGTCATTATATCTCGTTGATAGACTTGCACGGGGCTAGGGGCTCCCTTAGATGTTGGATATTCTCGCTCCCTTTGGGCCCTAAGGCACAGGGATGGTACCACTTGCTTCCCCATCACTCGATCTGAAGGTGGCAACATTCCGATCACTTTTCATTGCATGATTCCAAAAAATTCAGTCACCAACATTGTGCAAGGGGTTGAGAAAAGCCTAAAGGATTAGATCACCCGTTTAAATGAATGAGTACATAATACGGAGTCGTGTCACCAATAGACGCTGTAGGTGTCGGCCTTCTCGGGATTAAAGTCAAGCTCTATTTCAAGTGGTCGTTGTGCCAGAACAAACCTTTAGCATACTAGGAATTTCTATCCCAAGCATAATAACATGTGGTTGCAGAGGATTCCATGTCCATCCCATCCTTTGAGTTGACGAATAGCTCAAACGCAAAAGGAAAAGAGACCAAGACAAGTTGGGATTCATCAAAGGATTCCCGAACTTCCCAAGTTCGGGCGTTAAAGAAGCAATACTAAGAAGAGTTTAAGAACAACTATCGAAGTGTATACTCGGTGGGTGCAGCTACCGTATATGATAAGTTAAAAAATAAAAGGATTATTCCTGACCCTAAGCCAATGTGTGCGAGTGAAGATCAACTCGATAAGTTGTGATACTGCGCGTACTACAAATCAATCGGCCACAATACTGACCAATGTTACTATTTTATTTCTGCCCTGCTAAAATCGGCGAGAAGATCGTCGAGGGAAGAAAGAGGGGTCGGGAAAACGATGGTCCGAATAACGAAGGCAATGGAGCTATCGAGGTCAACCCAAGGAGATTGGGGAGGCCGCCACATGAAATTTTAACTTTCAAATGGGGTCAACAGAGCGAAGAAAGTCCCTCTCGGAGTAAAAAAGTGTGCTCGAGACTCATCAGACTGGATAGAACCCCGAGCAGACCAACCACCACCCAGGAGGACCTCCCCAGGTTGGCTCTTCAACACCAATTGGGGAGGACCGATCGTGTTACGAAGGCTAACCCCATGAGGGCGTACAACACTGGTCAGCAGATCTAGAGCTCCGGTCCCTAACCGACCTCCAACAGTCGAATAAACCCAGTCACCTTTCCTAATGAGGACATTGAGCTGCTTGATCACCCCCAGTCAGATGCGTTGGTGCCGACGACGCTGATCTATCTCATACCGGTGCACAGGATTCTGGTGTATACCAGGGCCTACGCGAGTGTCCACCGGGAGATACACTCTTGAAGACTAATGATTCACATATATGTTGGGTTCGCTATACCGTACGAGGTGAAATGCAACGGAAATAAAACGAAATAAATAAGCATTTATCTAATAAATACTAAACCCCTCGGTTAATATAACGATTGTTACAATTGGCATCTTTTAAAATCACGTGGAAAAACGAATTTTGATTTGTAGAGAATTTCGAAAATTACCTTTAATTTTCTTCATAAAACGATGACAGAGAGGAAATCAATTCCCGGTTATGTGGTCATCACCATCTCGTACGTCTCACCATAAAGGATCCAAGTGTCTCCCCTCTAATCGAGTCCACCTTTTGGATTCCGACTTCGAGAACAATTTCTTCGCTAGTAGAAATTTGCCGGTAATCAACTGGTATAGGAATCAAAATTAGGAAAAGAGATTTTTTTTTTTTCTCCTTCTAAAAAGCTGAGAACATCATATGCTCTTTTTGCCATTCTTGGAATTGGGAGAACATGCATATCACCATTTTGTATGTACAACACATCTACCTTCTTAACTTATATGAAAATATTAGACTTGCTTTAAAATGCGACACGTGGCCATGGTTGCCTTTTGGCTTCTCATTTCCTCCAGTTTTTTATTTCTTTTTGCTTCTCCTTTCCTACGTTTTTTTATTTTTTTTAGACATTGGGGGTATGTTTGTCATTTTTTGACTTGGGTTGGGGATATTTGGGGCAACATCATTTTTTTAATTTTTTTTATTTTACTCTTTCGTTCCGCTTTCCTTCTTTCTCTCTGTCTTTCCCTATTTTCGTCCGATCGTTTTCTATTGTGTGATCTTTTCGTTTTCTTTATTTTTATTTTTTTTTCGGTCGTTTTCTGCGGTTGTTAAAAAACATTTTCTTCTCGCCCGTTGTTCCGTTAATTATTGTGCAGTATTCTCAGATTTTTCGGCTTCTGCGACGAAATGTGTTTGAACTTTTTGGCTTTGCGCCGGCGTTTCCTTGCCTTGGATGAGGCTTACCATCCAACTAAGTTCTCCCTTCGTTATTCATTTCATTATGTTACATATTTTTTAGCTTGATGTTATGTTGTTAGTTTTTACCTTCCCTTTTATTTCTTTGTGCGACTTTTGAATTCATATGTTTTGTTTGGTCATCTTATGGTAAATGTGGGGTAATAATAGGTAGATGATTATTTCCAATTTATGTTTTTTGCTGATTATAATTATGTGAAAATTGATGTTCTAGGATTTTCATCTCCCTTTTGCTATCGAGTGCCCTACTAATTTGTGGATGATAGATAAATGTTTCTTTTATAGTCTTCTCTTTGGTGGTTTTCATTTAAAAATTGTCTTACAGAGTGGTTTTATTTTTCTGAAATTGGTTATTTCCCGTATGCTTTCCTATAAAGTTGCCTGCTAAATATGTATTATATGCAATAATTACATTAATTTAGGGAGGCTATATTAGATGGTTGGCTATCATTGCCATGTGTTTTTTTTTATTGGTTCTTCTTGTATTTTTATTTTACTTCATGATGTAAGGTGCAGGTTTTTTGTGATGATTATTTTTTACTTCGGCCCATTGTTTACGTGTGCAAATTTTTTCCCTTATTATTTAACTCACTGCTCATCCCCTCTCTGTATTCCTCTATAACTAACAGGTTGTGTACTTCTTTTGCTTTTACTCCTTTGTTGCAACTGTGTAAGTTTTCCTTCTTCATATCTTCCCTGCATTTATTTTTCCTTTCCTTTCTATTTAGACTGTTTCTTTTTATATTTTTCTTGCTTAGTTGTGCTCTTGTTCATGTTCTTTCTCTTCATTCAATGTGCTGTTTGTAAGGTTTCATGTTGCTGCTCATTTAATGTGCTTTATGTTATGTTTCATATTCTGACAATTGTTTTTAATGTTTCACTGATGAGTTATTCCTTTTTTCAAGTTGTGGAGGTCTTATTATTTAGTATGTATTTTCATTTAATGTGTTTATCCTTGTGTTTGGTATTTACAACATTGGTCACATTTCTGATCTGCATGGTTGGAGTTGTTCAAGTTCATTTACTTGTTCTTTTCTTTCTTTTCTCTTTTTCTTTTAGTTTTAGTTTATGTACTTTCATCTTACTTGTATTTGCATTCTTTTTAAGTATAGATGTTGTGCTTTCTGTGGGGTAACTTTTTTCATGTTTGTGATCGTGTTTGATACCTTTTCTTTCTCTCATGTCACTCGTCGAAGACCTATACTCTGGTTTGTACCGCATGCCTTTTTCTTTCTGATCAGACCTCATATCCATTTTCTTTCTACCAGATCTCATGTCCCTTTTCTTTCTCACAAGCCACAATTTCATGTGGCTTAGTTATTTGTACAAATAATGGTTCCTTCTCTTTGCGGTTGTTGTTATTTCAGTGTAAACTTTTGGCCTTTCTTTTTCAGATATACTTGTTTCAAATATATTAACATTCATTTTTGTTGTGTGTTTTGGGTTGCTTTTATGTAGGTGTGCTGAAGTGTTCTGCAACAAATAATCTGTAATATTTGACCTGCTGATTTCTGTGTTTAATCATCAGGTTCTTCTGCAAACCTTTCGACTTATTTAATATTGCAGAAAAGTCTTGCTCTGTTTTAAATTGTTGGTGCATATATATTTGCTTGGTCTCATTTTCATTTGGTGATGGGGAAAAAAGAAAATATGTAGAGATTGTTCTGCCAATGGGTGGGGATCTCCTTGTTAAGAAACAATCTAGACAAGAGGCTATAAGAAAGTGGAGATTAAAAAAACTAAAAAGGAATTTTACAGTCAATCATACAACTTATGTGGACATTATACCTAACATTAGTGCTCCAACTCTAGATACATTTAGTAAAGAACGTAGACAAAAAGCGATTGAAAGATGGAAGGCGAAGAAAGATAGATCTCAATCTCTTCAACCTTCTGTCACACTTCTTAGTGATGTCAATGTGGTTAGACAACATTGTACAATTGAACCTATTCATGCAGTACAAAGAACTGGTCTGTATGATTCTCAGGCAGAGTCCAATAATGCAACCAATCTTAGAAAAAGGGTTAATGAAGCATTAAATGATATGCAGGGAGAGAAACTTAATTGTAAGAAAAGTAAAAAAAACACATTTAAAAGATGGTAGGAGCCGACTTACATCTATTCCTCTAGCGCCTGCAGTTCTACAGAATGTCCCAAACTGTCCACACTGTCTTGCAAGAAATTTGAATATGAAACATATAACTTATGTTGTTTAGATGGAGATGAGTGTTTAGCTACTAATGATGCTCCTCTTATATTTCAAGAGCTTTACACATCTTCCTCATTAGAAGCAAACTTATTCAGAACTTGCATTCGAACAATTAATAATCATTTTACTTTCACTTCCATGGAAGTGCACTATGATAAAGCTCTTAGTAAACGTAATAATGGAATTTATACATTCAAAGTGCAAGGTCAAATATACCATTTCATAGATGATTTCTTTGAATCTGTAAATCTTCAGTTGTATTTTCATGACACCGATACTGAAGTTACAAAAAGGTTGGAAGCATGCCCTCGATTGACATAATCGTTAATTGATAAAATCCTTACATTACCTCCACAGCTCCCATGCAAAATACACCTGCCGGAGTACAACAAACCGAGGATGTTTGCAGAGACAGAAAATTTATAAAGTAAGCCTTAACTTTCTATTAAAAAACATGAAACAGAGAACAACAAAAGAATATAAAAAATTATTCATACCTTCTCCATAGATTAGTACCCACTAAAAAATAATCATTCACAAAAAAAGTTTACAATGACATATGATTTTTTTTATTCCTTTCTGCAGATGTCATGGGTGTTGTTGTTCATGTATTGCCGCGAAAAGATGTTTCCTCAAGTTCAAACACTAAAGATCTTGTCATCGTCAATGCATAGTATAATTAAGACATTTTATACAGTTTATATGCTCACATATAAAATGTAAAAGTAGATCTAATTTATTTCTGTCCAGTTCCATTCAACAGGAACAAACCTATGATTTTTACATTGTAGAATGAATTTGCAAAAGAAGAAGGTCAACAACTAGAAAGCACATTGCCTAGTGGTAACATTATTGTTGCAACGAGGGTGATGGTAACAACTTTCAATCGTAAGTCTTTGCTGACTCTACCCATACAATTTGAAATCTGATCATCACTGTCTGTAAATATACACATTGTTTAAATTTTTCCATGGGCAGTGCTATCAGTGACAACAACTCACTTAAGCACAATAGTGATAAATCCTCCGATGGCAGAAAGTGTTACTCTCAAGCAATGGTAACAAATGAGTGTGTTCTATTACTTGCATATTTTTATCATTCAATTTCTGTTACAATCATTTACATTTAAATATATAGGTACATTGACCACAAGGAAGAAGTCAACCATCAGCTGGAACTGAAGGTCTATGAAAACCCTGAGTTTCTCTTGCCGCCACCAAACGAATCAGCAATTATCTCCGTTCACTCAGCCTTAAAAAATTTGCAAACTGTAAGTATTGAAATCTTCTGTATAACTAATTGCTTTCATGACAAATACCATTTTATGCATTCAAAAAATATTAATCATGTCCAATATATTTAGCTGAAAACGGCATGGATTCGAGGAAAAGCCGTTCTTGCATATGGGCAGACATCTTACTGGTTCATAGCTTGCCACAATTGCAAAAAAGGTTTGCGTGCCCAAGTCGGATGGATAGTGACATGCCCTCAATGCAAAGCAGAAGGACCAATGGAACCTAGGTATGAAAATAATACAATTCACAAAATACTGACAACATTTTCTTTATAAATATCATTTACGATGTAATTAAAACACTCGTTGTAGGTGTAGATTTACGCTAGGCATTGAAGACAACACTGGGCTAATACAAGCTGTTATTAGAGGTCCAGAGGCTGAACAACTGCTTCCAATGACCGCAGCCCAAATGAGCTTGAACAAAAACTAGGTGAAAAGAGTCTGTAATTATTTTTGTTTTCATTAACTTTTTTAAAGTTTCCTTATCATAGTTAGT